GATTCTCATGGATTCTCAGTTAATTAGACGTGAAGGGACCATGACCCTGACCCCCTGCCTCTTTCTCACTCTTGAGTCTTGGCCCGACTCCCCTGCTGCCGCCTGCCGTGCGACATCCTCGTCTTCCGTCTTCAATCTAGACCGTCGGGGTCGTGGTCGTGGTCGTGGTCTGCCTTTTTTTTTTTTTTTTTTTTTTTTTTTTTTTTTGACAAAAGTCAGGCATCCGGACGGATACTCGTAGCTGTACGTATATATCTCCATCGAACGGGAGCTTCTCGGTCGAAAATGGCGGCCAGACCTTTGGACCCGATTTACATGTATGTATCCAGTAGACTTCAACTCGATAGTCCTGCTGCCCTTGGTCTCGTCTCGTCAGTTCAACATCAGAGAAAACGAAAAGACTTTGAAATTTGAACAACATCAACATGTCGTCGATTGTCCGCAGGTGGTATCAGGAAAGAGGTTCACACCGATAGGTGGAGGGATCCACTTCCACACGCGACGCAGCCTAGCGTTGCACAGTACAAAATACGACGATCTACGGCCGGACTTGCACTGTATATTTTGCGCCTGCCTCACGTTGCAACTTGCACCTTCCATTTCCCCCGCGGTTGGTGACAAAGAGACGAAGCCATCGCCAGTGATGGTTCTTTCCCTTCCCGATTCCAAAAGCTAAATTGGCCATACATCGGACGGACTTTACTTCATTCAAATTCAAAGAAAAAAAAAGAGTAAATAAACACTTGGCGTCGCGCCCCTTGATATCCTCAGCGTCGATATCAAAATAAGGTACCGCAGCGTGGCCGTTCCGTCGTCCCTCAACCGGCACAACTGCCATCTCTTTCAACATCCCGAGACATCATCGTCTGCAGCTCTGCTTCCATCGCCTCGCATGACATAACGGCTTGTCGCCGCGTGCCAGCTCATTTCCTTCTTGGCTTCTGCCTGCATTTTCAAGCCCCCTCTCCTCTCTGATCTCCGAGTCCATGGCATACATCAGGCCATCTGGCGGAATGACTCGTTTCTTCTTTCTGGCGTTGACACTGCAGAAGCAAGATTGAGATTGTTGTATTTGCTTTCTTACTCGTGGCCGAGGTGAGGTACCTCAAAGGCTCAAGCCACGAAGCCCACTCTTCGGCCGGGTTCCTCTGCGGAAGGCAAGAAAAAAGAAACAACTCATCTACCTAAACCTCAGATAAGCTACCGCACGCAATCCTCCTTGGTTTCCGCCATACCGGTCTGCCTCTTCGATGGCGGGGATACAAACTCGGTCAGCAAGCCCAGATCTCGCATCACGTTGCTCACGTACACGGCTTTCGACACATACAGTGCAACCGTCACATCGCCTCGCAGTCTGCGACGTCCCATCGTCCTTCTCCTAGGTGGTCTTGCAGCCTGCTTGAACTTTTGAAGCAATTTCAATAGCCCTCTCCAGGCTCTCCTGCATCTCCACGACCCTATCAGCATGTCAATCCAGAACCCCGACGCTTTTGGCTACTCATGCTGGTGGGCTTCGAGACGAGTCTACGGAAACAACTCTTTCCAAATTCCTGTCAGCATCGGTTACATCAAGACTAGCCCCGCCAACGTGCAGCCGGCCAGCAAGACTTGCCGGAGTGACGAAACGAAACGAGCGGACAGGGCCGGTTTGTCGCGCATTCCAAACGGGGTCACAGTTCTCAGACCTCTCGATCAAGATCAGGTGAAAAGCCAAGGCTCAACGCAAGGATGAAACTCCCGCGGCCGTTGCATGAGGAAACGGAGACCCAGTTCTCCCAGCTGCCTCTCCACTTTCGAATGTCGAGGGCCGATCGCACGCGGCACGCAGCGCGCACAAATGCTTGACTTTTATGATGCCAGATGATGATGGGACGGAGAACCCAGCATCGACGCGCCACTGATGGGTTCTTCACGTCCGAGCTACAAGCTACGTTACCGACATCGGGGTTTAATTGTCAAAGAGTCAAGTCAACATCGGCGCTCCAACACTGAACTTCGTTACCACGGCCCACTCTAGATGCCATAGTCGCAATTCCCAATGGGCGCACCATAGCCTTCTCGCACAGACAAGGGGCCAGAGGACTACCGACCTTCGTTAATCTGAGATCACGCCGATGAAGCGGACCAGTGGCAGTCACTAAGGAGCAGAATTACTGCACATCACACACCGTGACCCTTTGGGCCTTGGCCGACGTAATGCCTGGAAACAATCCCATATTTGAGTGTCTAGATGCTCGAGAACTAGAACATCTCGGCCAGTCACGGTAGCACACGATGATACTCTGAGACTCTCCATTTCCAGACTCTCCACATACTGGAGGCAAAGCAATCAATCTGCTGGCGTAGTGTACACTTACCCCAAAAAAATCCCCCCCATTTGCGTCTGATCGAATCAGCTAGCGGGGCGAAAGGTGGTGCCAGCTGAACCCCCAAGTTTAGTAGAACGTCGTTATTCATTAAACTTGGGGATCTAACCACCAAGCGCCTTGTCAAAGAGACGACGATTTGCTACGTCCACGACATACGGGGCTGCCCTAGCCCGATATTCTCAGTTTAGCCTGCACATTGCTATCCGTAGTTGGCAGATGCCCAAAGAATGGCCAACCCGAAAGCCACCGGGCCTTGTTCCGAGCTACTAGACTGCGCCTGGGCGACAAAGAGGCGCAATATCCGCCGTATCATTTGTCGATCCTTCTTCAAATGGCCATCCTCCATGAAGACGGTGCCTGGCTATCTGCGTCGGAGGCGCAAAGGTGTATGTGCGGCCCAGTTGTCAGCTCCCATGAGTCGATAGATGCCGTTCCGTCGCGGCAGCCGATGGATCAATGAGCGCCTCTTTGGAAATCTTTGCCGGCTCTTGGCAAACCAGTCTTCCCACGATGAAAGAGCAGAACAGCCCTTGGACCTTATACTGTAAGCCGTTGTTTGGTCGATAAGCCTCCTGCTTAATCTTCAGGTTACAAGACAGTGGCTAACGTGATGCATAGCGCTTGTCTTCGAAAAGGTTGCCTTGCACCCGTGCTCTGGCTGACAGGGTGTTTTTACGATGGAGGATTTCCCTTTGATGGTATACGTGGTATAAGCAAACACAGTGACGCCGTGCCACGATACCCAATATCTTCACGAGGGGGTTGAGCAGCTACGGTTGTTCTCTTCTACCTCGTGCCACGCGTCCACGTCGCCGTCACACGCCGCGGACGTTAACTCTTTCGGGACGCAATAAGGCTGGCTGTGGACCTGGGGCCTTGGAGTTGGGCGATTCCATTCAGCCAACTAGCTTGCAGAAGCTCGCTGCTTGTTTGCGACAGAGTTCCCTACGGCCGACGGAGTGGACGCCCCGCTGATGAGCGACAGAAGATCGACTCAGCCTGTCAAATAGATGGCCAATGTCTCACCGATGTAGTCCTCTAGTGGTGTATAGGCCAAGGTTGGAGGGTGTGGACTTTCCATTATCCTTCATGGCGATCTGCAGCGGGCAGAAGCCAGTGGCAGCAACATTGCCGAACTTTTTTGCTCGAAGCTATCGGCTCCATCAATGTTGGCGCAGCATCCCCGGCAGTCTGCGTTTGGTGATCAGAAGGCGACAGCGGTTGAGAGATGCTGTTCGCTAAGGCGCATGCAAGCATCGGCAGAGGCAAACACGCATATATCGACTTGGCTAAGGTATCGGTCTTCGCGGGGGTTGTACTACTCTGCATGGTGCCCGGCTAAACCAACAGCCACTTCTTTACAACTACACGCGAATGTCTCACGGGCATCCGGCCTCCATTCCGCGCCTGCTTCGTCATCAGCCAACGGTGTGGACTCTGCAAACGGAAGCGAGCTGCTCAAATTATCATCAATTAGATGGTTCGTTTGCAAACGCCATCCCGACTCAGCCGGCAACGGCAAGCGACTTGACGTCTCGGTGCATGATGACCATGTTTTCGCGTGCGTTATCGTGGTGGAATTCTCCAGCGAGAAACGAGGACCTCTCGCTGACCATTGCTCTTCGGCCATGACCTGATATTCTGCGACCGTTCAACGCCCTAGCATCAGGTAGGGTTGACAACAAGGAGATGAAGTCCTGAGGTCAGGCAAACAAGACAGACGGGAAACAAAGACTCGGCGCGATGACGGTACTTGGCTTTCGCTCCCAAGCCCAATCAGGTGCCGTTTCTTTCGGATAAGATCTGGCCGGTACAACCAGTAACAAGCCTCTTGGTGAGTCTTTGTTCGAAGCCTCCTCTCTCTGACAAGACATGGTTCGAATAACGAGGGTAGCACCTGCAGCCTCCAGTCTGTGAAGTCGAATGTACTCGTCTTCGACTGCATCTTCGAAATACCATCAAAGCTTATATCGACTAATAGTTTGTGTCCTAGATTCCGGTACTTGGTATTCAATGCTCCGTAGTCGAACTACCCCAGATATCTCTAGGCCTAGTCAAAAGCCTAGGCATCGGCAAAAGTTCCACACAAGCAAAAGATAGCGGTTTGTGCTTGCAGCTCACCGAGCTCGAACGTGGGTGCTGCGCAGGGTTCGTCAGGCCAAGGATCGCTATAATCAAGCTTCGTTTGTTTGTTGACTGCTTGCCTAATATACGGGAGCACACACCGGCTGACGATGACCGAGCTCACCCCAGTCACCCACCCACCCTGATCTAAGATGGCAGATCTGGCCCTCCTAGACTCATCGATCCCAATTACGCCGATTTGTCAACGGCGGCACCCAGTCATCTTGGCCTGTGGTATATGAGCCTAGCTCATCCTTACGTTTGCACGGTTTTCCGTACGGGCATTGCTCGGGATCCGTGCTCCGTGTCTGGGACCCTTTCACGATACGTGCGGCGTTGCCAGCTAGTCAACCTGGTCCCTTCAGTTTATATAGTCGATGGAGCTAGTGCAGTCTGCATTTGTTGGCTCGAGCTCATGATATTGATCCTGCCCAGATTTCCAGGCAAACTTACTGTGTAGAGTGTTGGCAAACGCAACCTCCCTTTTTGGCATCCTGCATTAAAGAAGCTACATTTCACAATCTTCCCATCTCCAGCCTAGGTTTCGATCACTTCACGTGGTACCACAGAAAAACTCTAGAAGCAATGTCCTTCCGTCTTCTTCTCCTTCTTTTACCCCTTGGCCTTTCACCCTACCCCGTACGTACCCCGAAATCATGTAAGAAAGAGCGACGAGCCGTCTCATGTCGTGGTCCTCGACCTCCCCACTCCACACCCCTGCCCTGCCCTGTGATGCAGCCAGGAAGTGAGGAGAGTCGGAGGACACCAAAGTCATTGTGTATATTGCATTAGACTGGCTGCAAAGTAAGATATTAGTGGGCGATGCCCGCCAAGTGCAGCTTGCGCAGCGACTGTGCGGCGTGTCGTTGGTTTTGAGCTCCCACTCTTCGCCGAAACACACCAACGATGCTTTGGTCCGCTGTCGTGTCAGGCGGGGCCGGTGAAAGTTCACTGGTGAGGGTTGAGGATAGGTGGGTGGCTTTGATATGTAAGGCAGAGTAGATGCGAGCAGGCTTATTGCTGCCGAGGGGAGCAGGGCGTCGGTGATCATTGTGATTATGGTATCACACGTGTTATGTTACTTTGGGAAGCTGTGTTGTGGTTGGGCTGCTGCTTGCGTGTGTGTTGTTTCCCCCTTCTCTTGTGATAAAGCCTGGACTTTTGCGGCGGTTATGAAAGGAGGGGTCCCCCCCTTATCTGTGATTTTTCGCCGATATCACAACTTGTTAGTGTAACTCACCTACCACCGTACGCTGGAGCTTTTGTGTGTAGTAAGGCCGAGGTTTCTCCCTCGTTCAGAGAACAGGGCGGCTCCCTAGGGAAACGAGGAGGGACGTGTTTCCTTCCGACACGTTCTTTCTCGGGGACTGTTGGGTGTACATTGCGGTTTTGGGTACTTTCAATTCTGGTGCCACGCGGTACTCTGTGTCTCGAAAGTCTGCTCCGAAGCCTTGATGAATAAAGTCTTCCCGTTAGCAGTGTCCAGCGGCGTCACATCATCACTACTGTCATCTAGGAAACGTGATCTACTCGCCGTATTGATCCCAGACCCAGATCGAGACCGAGAACGCGAAGCAGACCCGTCCCGCTCGACGCGGACGTCGACGGCCCGGCGGAGGACTTCGGCCAGGAGCGCGAATTTGCCCCGCCGGTTCTCTTCTTCGTCCTCGTCCTCGTCGGCACATCTGTCACCTTGATCGAGAGTTGTAGGGCGATGGTGCGGCGGAGGCGAAGGTAGTGGTGTTGGAGGCGGAAGGGGGAGCGGGAACAGGTTCCGGTGCTGGGCTTCGAGACGGCGGCAGGCGAGGCATTTGCCTGATTTGCGGAAGACGCCTGAGCAGGAGAGGTCTGGGCAGGAGAGGTCTGGGCAGCAGTTGGGATGGCGAGGGTGAGGCTTTCTTGGACAGGGGTGGGTTATGTGGTGGCCTTGCCAGCAGCCGCAGGCTATGTGGTAGATGTTTTCTGCGAGACACATTGTGAGATATACTCCGTAACTGAGGCCTAATTTGGACCCATGATGGTTTGGCGGGGGAGAAGGGGGAGGGAAAGGTGGAGTTGCGGATGGTGGCGGTTGGTGATTGAGGTTGTTGACTTACCTTGGTCTATCGTGAGAGCTGGTCGGAAGTTGAGCTGGTGTAAGTTGGTGTTGGTGATGTGTGCCAGCGGCTCTACGGAGTAATAAACTTGATTTGTTGGCGTCTTTGAAGTGGTAGTAGTCTTTTGTAGTTTTGTCCCCCTTTTCCTTCTCCTCGTTGTTGGGGCATCTTCTGGTAATATAGACCCAGCAGAGATGCGAGATTCCTTTCTCGTGAATAGGGGTTCTGCAGAACTTTGGAAGATGTGTTGTTAAATATTGAGTTTACTTTGTTCGTAGAGCATAAAGGCCCCTCATGTTGACCAAAGAATGGAGTTGGTTGTGTGCGTACGGAGGTGAACAATGGGGAACAATAAAGGACTCTTCATTCTGAACACGATGCTATGTCCTTCTTGGACATTTTTCCTTTCTTGTGTTGTGAGTCGGTTTGCCTTTGAATACATGCTGACGATGAAGTACGTATACAGTCGTATCAAGCATTGTAAGTGTAAGGCCAGAAAGGGGAGGGAAGTAACCTAGCGAACGACGTAATTTCAAGTTGTCGTTGTTTATCCTATTTTTTGGGCTCTTATATGCGAGCATTCCTCTCGTTGCAGGGAGAGAGAAAGAGAGAGAATTTCTATAAGGGTACCCCTTTGAAGAGATAATATTGATTTCAGTCAAGAAAATGAGTTAGTTGAGCGGGTCGGTACGATCCGGCTTTATTGGGTTGGATAGGAGGTTTATGTTCGTGAACAATGGAGGTTGAAGCGGCAAATTTTCAGACTTCCGATTGACAAAGAGATTAGAATGCATTCCTATCGAAAGAAAGGGATTAAGACTGGCAAGCATATTTAATTATGAGACTGTAGCAGTCAAGAGTTGATTGACTTGAGAAACTCCAAGAACTACAAAGTTGACACTTCTGAAACCATTTCAATCTGCCATTTCAAGATGTGCCGACTGAGGCTTATGTATGGGATATATGTGTATCATCTGCCTAGAAAAGAGTATGTCACAGTCTCACGGTTTCATGATCATGTATTCATTTCTACACATCTTCTCTAAACTCTGTAGCCTCATATAGCTGCCTCCAAGGTTTTCTTCCCTCGGGGTGTCTCCAAAAACTCGCTCGCCCACTTTAGTCAACCAACCTAGCAAGATGAACACCATCATACAACGGCATCAACCAAGAATCCAACCGCGGCTCGTCGTGCACGGCACTGTTAAACTCGCGCAGCTTGTCCACGTCCTCGGACTTCCAGTACGCCGCGCGTTGGCTCTTCTCGCGCTCCATCCACGGGTTCTCGTCCGAGTCGTCGGCGACGATGCCGCGGCGGAGGACGTTGTCCGCGACGATGAGGCCGCCGGCACGGAGAAGACGATTCTTGCCGTTTGTTTGGGAGGAGGCGAGGATGGTGGACAAGTATGATGGGTATCCTGACTTTTGGGCGTCGATGAAGATTAGGTCGTAGGGTTCTGAGGGGTTTAGGGTTGGTAGGCTGCGGGAGTGTGTTAGTGAGGTAGAATGAGGCGTTTCTCATAGTCCCCTTTGTGCTGGTATTATTCTCCGGTTTTCATCCGATGAAGGTTGGTGGCAATCGGGGCCATCATATGGGAAAATTGAGCTTGGGGAGAGAAACTCACGTCTCCAGAGCATCGCCGACGACAACGGACGCGTTCTTGATGCCGTTGGCGGCCCAGGCCTCCTCGGCTTGCTTTGCATAGTCTGCGCTGAACTCGAGGCCGGTAACGGTGCCTTCGGGCCCCACGGCGTGAGACCAGACCATGCCGGAGTAGCCGACGTAGACGCCGATTTCGAGGACTTTATATTGGTTTCGTTAGCAAACGGTCTTTGACTTTGGGTTGAGTTGAGTAAGAGCCGTTTGTAGCGTTTAGACTCAGTGGCTCTATGAGAAATGGCTCTGGCAGAGATCTGAGGTGTTGGGGAGAGGTTCGGCAACGCTCAACTCCTTCACCTAGGTCTCTCCAAAGTTTCGCTTGAAGTTGAGATGAGGTTGTGAGATGAACCGCGTCTCGTGAGATAAATGGTGTTGCAATCTCACGTTCCTCTCAAAGACGCCCGACGGTTCTCAACCGCCTTAACCCCCCAAACGAAGACACACAGAAAGAGACCTCTACGAAAACTCACTTCTCTTAGCCCCAATAAGCTTCGCAATCCAAATGTGATTCTGCGCCTGAAAATTGCTAATCATCAACATGGACGTCTCGGGCTGCGTCTTGTCAATGTGGTCGTGGTAGGCGACAATGTGCGTGGGCAGGTCGGTGGAGCGGGACTCGGAGTACGTCGTCACGTTGCGCGAGACGGACTCGTTTGGATAGAGGACCGAGACGGAGGACTTCATCTTGACTCTGTGTGGATGTGTGGCGTTTTTTCAAGCTGCGTGTGACTGGACCGGCTTTCGTTTATTCTGGGAAGAATCAAGTTTCACAGAGAAAAAAAAAAAGTGGTTTTGTAAGATGTAGTGAGGGAGAGTAGGCGTTCCGAGGATGAGGTGAGGTCAGGAGTTGGTTGGACTTGGATCGAGTCAGGTGGATTGCAACGGGACCATACGTCGGAACTTCTTGTCAAACAAGTGTAATGTATTGCAGGAATAGTAATTTCCAAAGAAAGAAACGCAGGAAGATGAGAGAGAGAGAGAGAGAGAGAGAGAGAGAGAGAGAGAGAGAGAGAGAGAGAGAGAGAGAGCGAGAGCCTTGTTTGTGTGTTTATGCCAAGTATCAAAAGCCCGACTGGCCACCCCTCCTCCACCGCCAAAGGTCGTTCGTTGGCGTTGATTATCAAGTATTCAGCTTCATGACAAGTGACAACTACGGCACATCGTGTCACAATCCCCCCCAGTCCCATCCCGCGCGCGGAATGGTGGATAAGACCCAAGAAAGGGAGCGCCGCGCCCCCAAGTTCCGAGAGAGCCGAAGCAAGATCGACCCCTCCATCCATCGGTGCGGATTCCACCCCCACCTCTTCACCTCCCCCGCCTTCGGAGCAAGATGCCGGCTGTCGAGTGTCGTTTAGTAGCGTCCCCCGGTTACGCAATCGCCCAGATTCACCCCCCCGCCAAAGCAAACAGGAAACTCCAATGGCATTTTACGAGTATTTCGTACGGACATAGAAGTGTGATGAAAAGGTAACTAGCTGATCTGCCGACTCGGCCGAAGTCGCCATGTGCTCGGCGCTCGGCGACTGGATAGGTAGTCAAGCACACGTAAAATCAGTCTCCTTCGGACTCATTCAGACGATGAAGAGGCGCTTTGGTGGATCTACCTTTACCCAACCAACCGCGACGAACTGTTACAACTCCAAGTCTAGAAATCCTCGGGCCTGACACACGGCACTTTTGGGGATGGTAGGTAGGTAGGTAGCCACTTCGATATCGGCGCTCTATTTTCGCCGCATTCTTGCCTTTTGGGGATTCCGCTACCTTGCGCTTTTGCGTTCTACCTCAGACGCCTTTTTTTTCTAAGGTTTTTTTTTTATAATTTTTTTTTACAGGTGCTTGTTTTACAGCGGGAGGTTTATCTTGCAGCTGAGTCGAGGGGAACGGGCACTCACCCACCGCACCGCACCGCACTGCACTGCATCTTGCGACTTCGGATTATCCGTACCGAAGACTATAGTAGTAAAGTTGGGATGGAAGAAGTTTGGAAACGCGCTCGGTGCCGTTGCGGCGGGACTATCTGGTCTACCTTACACTCATGTACCTCGCCCTACTACGAGTACAGACCGGACCACACCATCCCATTAAAACGCCGTTTCTGTTTCGGGAAGGCGGGGCGGTTCCGAGGAAGAACTACGTGATTCTTCAGTAACATCTTAAACACCACACCGTAAACCCAAATAGGTGATTATCTGCGCAACTGGACGATGCTTTGTACCATGCATAACCATTTCCAAAAGAAAAAAGGCCCCTCATGTTCACTATTTAGTCTCTTGTTTTTTCACATCGCTCTGTCATCATTACGTTTTTGACAAAATGGAGTGGTTTCCAAAGTGTTGTATTAAGGCGGGAACTTTAAAGTCTAGTGACTTACACTACAAAAACTACAAGACTAGAAGCAGTTGACGAGATGCTTGAACAAAAGGCGGGGCGACAGGATATTACGACCTGACAGATTAAGTCTTTTATCCAAGCTCGAGCCAAAGTTGGTTCCTATATGCTCTTCCACTGTAACACTTTTTCCTCCTCCTTTTTTGGTCTGGTAAGACTGGCCATTCAACTCCATTCCACACGCTTCAACTCAGATGAAGCTAGAACATAGGAAGAAGAGAGATAGGCAGAAGTCTACTACTTTCCAGTAACTGCTTTTCAGTAGCTACTCTGCAGCAGGCCGTACCCCTTCCTCTGCCCCCCCTCGAACTTCTTTGCAAAAGCGTCTTCCGTGAAGTTATAGAGACACTCAGAGGAAGAAGGCGGCGACCATGAGGGCACCGCCGAGGGTGAGAGGTGCCTTGAGGTAGCTGCCGCCAGCGGTGGGGACCGTGGAGGGCTTGCCTCCAGTGGTGGGCGGCTGGGCGGGAGGCTGCGCCGGAGTCTGGGCAGGGGGTTGCGCAGGCGGCTGAACAGCGGGTTGAGTAGGGGGTTGAGCAGGAGGCTGGGCGGGAGGCTGAGCGGGAGGTTGAGAAGGAGGCTGCGCAGGGGGTTGAGCAGGAGGCTGAGCGGGAGGTTGAGAAGGAGGCTGCGCCGGGGGTTGAGCAGGAGGTTGAGCGGGAGGCTGCGCGGGAGGTTGAGCAGGAGGTTGAGCGGGAGGCTGCGCCGGGGGTTGCGCGGGAGGCTGAGCGGGAGGCTGCGAAGGGACAGTGGCAGGCGTGTTCGCCGTGACGGTAGAGTTGTGGTAACGGACTCTGGTGACCGTAGGGCAAGGTGTGCTCGAGGCCTGAGGGGTGACGGGGACAGCCTTCTGCGAAGACGCCACGACGACGGGAGCCGAAGACGCAGGCGGCACGGCGAGCTGGGACGAGACCACGACAACGGGCTGGGACGAAGGGGGAACAGCCTTCTGCGAAGACAAGACGACGACAACGGCGGAGGTCGAGGCCTTGGCGGTCGTGGTGGTTCTGGGCTTGTGGGTGGTTGTCTCCTTGATGGCTGAGGTGCAAGGGGTCGTGGCGTTGTGGCGGCGGCTAGAGGTCACGATCTTGGAGGTCGTCTTGGGCTTGTGGGTGGTCGAGGACTTCTTGGAGCTAGAAGAAGACTTGCAGGGGGTGGTTGTGGACTTCTTGGAAGTAGAAGACGCGCAGGGGGTGGTGGTCTTCTTGGTTGAGGTGGTGCAAGGAGTGGTCGTGGGCTTCTTGGAGGTAGAGCAAGGAGTGGTTGTCGGCTTCTTAGAAGTAGAGCAAGGAGTCGTGGTAGGCTTCTTGGAGGTCGAGCAAGGAGTCGTGGTAGGCTTCTTGGAGGTCGAGCAAGGAGTCGTGGTAGGCTTCTTAGACGTAGAGCAAGGAGTCGTGGTGGGCTTCTTGGAGGTCGAGCAAGGAGTTGTGGTAGGCTTCTTGGAAGTAGAGCACGGGGTCGTGGTGGGCTTCTTGGAGGTCGAGCAAGGAGTCGTGGTGGGCTTCTTGGAGGTCGAGCAAGGAGTCGTGGTGGGCTTCTTGGAGGTCGAGCAAGGAGTTGTGGTAGGCTTCTTGGAGGTCGAGCAAGGAGTCGTGGTGGGCTTCTTGGAGGTCGAGCAAGGAGTCGTGGTAGGCTTCTTGGAAGTAGAGCACGGGGTAGGCTCGTGCTTCCTGGTGGATGTGGTGCAAGGGGTAGTCGTCGAGGTGGTCGTGCAAGGCTGGGTGACGGTGACGACCTTTGTGCTCCAAGTCCAGGTCGGCCGGCCGTGGCCGGGCACAAAGACCCGGGTCACGGTCGTCTCGACGACGGTCTTCGGGTCCAGGGGCACCGGGGGGAAGTCGGGCTGCGACGGCTGCCAGCCGGCCGGACGGGTCGAGACAAGCATCTGAGCCTGGGCCAGTCCGGCGAGGACGGCAACGGCGACGGTGGCAGTGACCCTCATGATGTATGAGAAGGGGGTAAGGTGGGAAATGAGAGAAAATGGTAAAAAACGATTGACTGAGAGAAGAAGTGAAAGGTTCCCGCCTTCCCTACACGATGACAGTGAGCGAGTGACTGATGAATCGGATGAGGATGAGAGAGGAGAATGTCTGGAGTCTGTTCGTCGACTCGCTTTATTTATAATCGTCGGTCTGGGGGCCTTCGATGACCTTGATCCTTGATGGTCCTTCATGTCTGCACGGCTCGCTGCGTATCAATTCCTCATGATGTTGAGAAGAGAGTTCGAAAGAATGGAGCAAAAACCAAACACCGGGGCCCAACACGCGCAGCGTAGACCACAGGGTTGTGAAGCCATTGAAGCTTATGCAGAAAGCTTCTCACTCTTGAGCCACTTGGGACATGAGCTCCTCCCTTCCTGAAGATCAGTGGCCCCAAATACCGATGGCAACAGGTCAAGGTTTTTCTCGTCAAGCCATTGGAACCTCTGCGGAACGTCTCATGGCGCCGTTCTGGAGCTGGACGGCAAGGTCAGGTTGCCTGCGAATACGGTCTCCTGTGAGATATAAGTTGGTTTCGGCGAATAAGAGAAGGAGATGGCGAGAGTAGTTGAAGTCTTTTCACGCGTTGGCGACACCATTGGCGTTCACTGGACGATTTTGATGGAGAAGCTGCATGTTTGAACCTGTGCTTGAAAATTGATAAAAACGCTTGGGTACATATGGTGGCGGGACCTCTATCGGACCTCTTCCACCACTCGGTTGCCCGCCATTCGCTTTTCGTGATAATTCTGCAGCGCCCATATACCTTTCGTCATGATATTCGACACCCAAAACTTATTGATTCCGATGAGTGGCGTCCGCTGTTGTGACTCGAAAACGGAAGAGTGGTGATTTGTGCACCTTGACGGAGCTCTCGACGCCAGTCGATAAGCCTTGTGCTTGTTGCTTCCAAGCTCCCCTCAGCATCTGCGCGACCTGCAACGCTCAACTTTGTGTGTTCCGTGTCGGACCATGCTCGCTATGTATGCCTTCTGTCGACTCCATTCTTTTCCACTCTCGGAACACGCTTCCCAGACCCTAACGCCATATTGCCACGCAGTTTAGTAATCGGAGTCGGAAAACAGACCGAACCGCATTCGGTGGCTCTGTGTCCATGGTCAGCTTTGAACTTTGTGCGTCTTGTGTCAATGAGGGAAAAACATACAAAAGGCAGCTTGGGAATGACAACTGCTAGCACGGCCAGGAAGTTGATGCTAAAGTAGGCCAGGTCGTAATGCGTGTAATGCGTGCTAAGGAGGAAAAGCACGATTGGCACGCTGAGCAAGAACTTCTTGGCGGGTGTGTATTGTGCCCCGTCGTCAATTTGCTCCCACATGTTCAGGTTATCAAAAGCACCGCCGTTGAACTCGAATGGCACGCCGCGAACGTAATGGAACATGATGTAGGATCCAAACATGTACGAGATATTCGTCAGAGTCCAGGATGTCTCCTGTGACACGCCCGGCATGACATCGTAGAATATCTTTAAGCAAAGGATGAGGACGAAGTGGATTGTCCAGGCGCCTAGAGACGATGATTGTCAGTTTCTGTTGTCCTTCCTCCCAATGGGGCTCGATAGGCTGGCACGCGACCAAAACAAAGGAAATGGAAAGGGGCAATGGGATAGCTTCAAAAAGGGGAGCTTCGCGCGGGGCTCACCTTTGGCATTGACCCAGTTCGCATTGAGGTTGGGCACGACGGCCTGGTCGCTTATCTGCTCGAGTGTCTCTTGCGGTTCGTAATGGACCTGGAGGATGCTGCTAGATCTCCTTCTGCGGGCACCGGGTTCCGCCATTGCTCTGTACGATCCGCTGCCACTTCGCGGGGGATTTGTGGCCGCGTCGTACGAGACGGTGCGAGAGAGGAGGATTGGGGAAGACAGTTTGGCGGTGTTGGAGGGGGCGTTGGGGTGCGGGTTGGGTTTTGTGGGTGGAATGGAAGAGGGGGAAGTCTCTGCGGGCTCTCGGGATCGTCGTCGGCGTCCTCGTGATGCTGGGGTTCGGCGGAGTGATGAATTTGTCGTGTGCTGGCGGCCCCCTTGATGATGTCACGGGGAAAGCGAGCAGCAGCAATTGACGTTGAAGTTGATGCGGGCGTTGTATATAGGAGATGCTTGGACTGAATGTGGTTGAAATTTGATGGAAGCGAGAGTAGAGAAAAAGGTGTCGTCGGGACAGTCGAAGAGAAGCGAGAGCGAGATTCTGGCTGTGAATGTTTGGGGATGCCGTCGTCGTAATAGTCTACTTGGCAATGGGATGAAGGAGAGGATGGGACATTTTCCATTAGATATTCATAGTAAGGTAGCAGCAGTCAGCGGAACGGGGGCACTCAACTGGGGCCCTTGGGGGGGGAGGAGGACAAAAAAGACTGGGGCCCATTGGGACGTCCCCGACAAGGCCACGGCACAGGGCCTCAGGTGCAGCTGCGCGTGCAGGCACTGGAACCAGGCACAGTAAAGACCCCACTCATCCACTCCTCCCCAGCAAAGACACGACAGCACAGAACAAGATTGGGATCCGAGCCGACTGACAGCTGGAGACAGCATCAATTCCTCCATCTTCACACAGTCATGACAGCCAGTGCCAGCCGACACGAGCGTAACGAGGGGACACATTGATGCGGACGACGGGCGTGGAGCCACCCCTGGTCAGGGTCGTTCAGGGGACCACCCCAATTTCAGCGGGCACGGGAGACTTTCGAGAGGGGAGGGGGGACGCTGGCTGGGCAGGGACGGAGTTACATACAGTACGAGCACTGGCAGGTCCCGATGGGAGAAAGAGATGGACGGGACTGGACTTGGGGCCAGGGACACCTTACCTCAGTTCACAGGAGAGAAAGCAGAAGAGAGCGGGAAGCAGGGCAGGCATTCCCGACTCTTGGAGTCATGAAAGGTATGTGCGGATGGCATGGGAAGCCCACCACTCGCAACTTGCAAGAGGCTCTTGCTCTTGCACCTTATCTCCTTGGCCTGCGGATAGGAAGCTTTTTCTTCCAGGTGCGACATGCCCAGCCGGTTCACACACCCGACGAAATGTTGCTCGATTTGACAACCTTCTTCCTCCCCCACCATCGAAGAAGAAGAAAAGAAGGGACTCTGATTGTTGCATACAGATATCCCCTCCCCAGCTCCCACATACAGCAAACGGCATACGGCATGCGCACAACCCTGCCGAGAGCACGGCTAAACCAAGCACGAGAAAAGATCCAATACCTACAGCGACGCGTCCCGCGGGAAGGGCACTGATGATGGCCGACGTGAGCACAGCCAGCCAGACAGACGGTCAGACTCAGACCCAACATGCCACTGTCCCGCCGCACAGATATCCGTACTGTAAGCTCCCCTGCGTTTCCTGGCCCGGCCAATCGTGCTGCAGGAAGGGTAGCGCAGGACGGAGGACGGAGCAGCTTGCGGCGTAGGTTCACAGGTGCATTTGCTAGCGAATTGGGGGCAGGAAGGGGTTCCCCTGGCCAAGTTCAACTAGGAAGATGCCCCTATTTCCGACATTTAGTGACGGCAACTCGGTGGTCAATCGCCATTGGGGAGGGATGAGATACAGCAGCAAAGAGCAGACTGGCCAGATGTGGAAGCACTCTCACACCCATCCGGATACAACCGCTGGCTGGATCGACCCTATCACACAAGGCCGCCCACCGTCCATATACGCCGCATGAACATGCCATCAAGCTCTGAAGAGAGTCTAAGCTTTGTTGAGCCTGAAGGAGCAAAGCAACAGCAGAGCAGCACGATCATATACAGCCCATCCGTGCCATCTTCTCTTCGCCTCACATCATGACATGGATCACATCACACCTGGGGTTCCTGGCGTCTGGTCATCCTACCCAGATTCGCGTACGGGAACGGATAGAAGCGTGCAAGAAGGATGATGGCGGCATGGCCCCTCCTCCCCAAGTTGTCGATGCCGTCTTGGACTCCGTATTCTGTACTCCGTACCAGTCTTCCCCAAGACATACGGTGTTGCTCACTCTTCCCACCTTTCCGTTCCTCGATTTGACAAAAGTAATCGTTATCTGAGCTAAATCTGTCGCCCTCGGTCTCCACTAAGCGGGCTGTGCGACAAGTTATTGCCTGTAGTGGTTCGTTGCGTTGCGTGGGATGGACGGATAGGCAAGAAAAGGAGACGTGAAATTCCTGGACATCCGGGATATCTCACCGAACCACAAACTGCGTCACTGATGGAATGCCAAAGTTTCTTGTCCACATTAGGCCCGACCCCCGGTCACGTCTGCCGACATCAAGCTGTTGCAAAGACGCATAGGACTTTTGTTTAGCCCAGCGGATAAGTGTAGAATACGTGAATGCTGAACTGCAATTGAGCCCATTAGGTACTCATTGCAGCTTCAATACCCGCGGGTAATTTGTGGCGTGTCTTTCGCCCGAACGACGCGAAGTTCCAACGCGCATTACCGTGGTCACACTCGGGCAAAAAGCAGCAGATTCATGAGACCACGATATGCCCGTTCAAAAGTTGTAGCATACCATACCTTTCCCATGGGTCATTGCCCCGGTTTGTGTAACCGGTCCGCCTGCGGATGTCGACGCTTGGTCCAGGTGGCAGGTGTGCAGAAAAGATCTAGCCTCATTTCCGACCACCAGGATCTCATTTCTGCTTTTTCTCAGTTCTGCGGGTTGCGGGTTGGATGTTTGTAATTAGATGAAAATCGATAGGCCCGAGATGCCAATTCTAGAAGCATTTCACTTTCGCTTCCGAGTTTCTTCTTTGCAAAATGGCAGTGTGGCACCGACCAGCCCGACACAGCCTCAGGTGGGCACCCGCCTGTAATTAGTGAAGGTTCCAGGGCAATCAGTCGGCCCCCCTTGCTAAGGAAGGTAAGCGAGAGAGGAGGGACCTGACCTTACCTAATATCTGAGGTGAGAGGTACCATTTGGCACTGTGCCGTGGCCCGCACCTCGGAAAAATCGAGCACACTGAGGCACCCGGCAGCGCTGGCAGGCAGCACAGCCACAGGCAGCCGCCGGCAGGTGCGAGAGGTCCGCCGTGTCGGTTTGGCGAAACAGCACGGTTATTCTTCGGCCGGCCGTTTTTTTTGTGACGTCTGGCCTGCTGTGGATACCCGACAACAACCCTGCATACCTACAATTTTTTTGATCAGAGGAAACGGCGGGTTTTTCTGTTGATGCCGAACGACGTTGAGCGATACTGACAGGTAAAGATTTCTTCTTCCTCTCGTGAACGCTTCGACCGCTTGATTCGAGTAAGTCTATCGGCGGGCGAATTCCCATCGGATCGGAAGTAGGCTTTCTAGGTGCCCGAGCATTGCCATACTCTGGCAAATCGCGAATTCTCACGACCTTGGAATTGTGATTCAACTTTCACGTCATCGGACGCAAGAGTGTTCATCACTCGAACTTGGGCAAGGTCTCACAAATTTTCTGAGTATTTCAGCACGTTTTTCACTTATTCCAACAACACCTGACTCTGCTAGGTAAGATTGGAGAGGGCTCGAGTTTTGGTACGGCGTGGTATATCTCACCGTACACCGCAGTCACTGAATCTTCACACACCCACACCGCCCTCAAGTGCCACATCATGGAGGCATCAGAGCAGGCACAAGCCGTCCCGGTGCTTGGCACTGGGAACGATGCCCAGCGAGTGTCGAAGAAACGGTCGCTGGAAGACGTCGAGCAGGGAGACGTGATGCCCAACGGATCACCTCAATCTCATCAGGCCTCATCGCATGAGCCCGAGGCCAAGCGAGTGAGAACGGAGCAAATCGGTCAATCAGTCGCGCAGGATGTGTCAATGGACTCGGACGGCGCCGATGAGGGCGAGCTGGAGGAAGACGGAGAGGTCCTACCTTCCGAACCCGAATTCGAAAACCAGGGGATCGTCGCCGCAGAGAGTGAAGGAAGCGCTGGATCTCGCACGCGATCAAAGGCGTCGGCTTCTGGTGGAGAGTCTGATGCGGGCAGCAAACGGACGACCCGTTCAATGTCGGCGGCGGAGAGCGGTCCATCCCAAGTTGGATGGAATCAAGGCATAACGTCGCATATCCGGACATCACTTGGAGGGCCCAAGACAAAGGCTGCTGCACCGGCGCCGGTCAAGGCATTAATCGCCGAGGAGGAAGCCGCGCCTTCTCCCGCACCTGCATCCGTCTCCCAAGAAGCGCCTGCACCCGAAGCTGCTGAGCCAGCCCAACCTGCCCAACCGGCGCCAAAGGAGGCCAAAATCTCTCGACAGCAGCGAAGGGCCGAAGCTGCGGCAATCGCGAAAGAAAAGGCGCAAGAGATCGAAAAGGCTGGTTTCGTCCACGAGGGTCTGACTTTCTTTCAACCGAACAAGAAGACGCTTCTGCAACCAAAGGGGAACAACCTAGGCAGTGGAGTATGGAGATCCAAGTTTAAGAGCTGGTGCCAGTCCTTCGTCAGCCGGAACACCGAGCAGGAGCATCTGCTCACGCCCGACATTCTCGTCGCTGCTCTGCAGGACTACATTGCGCATCGGGCAGTGTGGAACAAGAAGAGGCAATCTCCAGCCGCGATCACTGAGTCACGTAAGCCCGAAACGAAGACTGACATGGCTTCCATCCTGGCGAATGTCGTGAAGAAGGATAAGCGCCAGCCAGGATCAGAAGAGTCGCCCCTGATCATCCACGATAACGACGAGGAGTCCGACGACGACCTTCAAGAAGTATCCCCTCCGTCCGGTTCCAGACGGGCTTCACAGACCGAAGACGGGCCTAACGATCAGCAATCTACAACACAATCCCAAAACGACGTTGTGGATTTGATGGACGAGGACGAGGAGATGGAGGAAGAGCAAGGTGAACCTGGACCGGCGATCATGACCGAGGAGGAGGATTTGGACCAGCAGCGCAAGTACTTCCCTGGCCTGGCCGACGCTGTTCAGATCTGCGTCTACTGCGCGACTCTGGGACACACCTCGATGGCTTGCCCAAACACGCGGTGCAAGTTCTGCGAACATACCGACCACTTTTCTTGGAACTGTCCTACGCGCGAAAGATGCACCAAGTGTCGCCAGCTCGGCCACGGCAAGACTAAGTGCAAGGAGAAGCTCATTCACCTGGACGAAGAGGGTATGGAATGTGCCATGTGTGGCTCTCAGGCTCATCAGGAGGACGAATGCGAAAAGGTCTGGCGATCGTACAAGCCTCCAAGGTTCACCAAGAAGGTCAAGCCCTTCCCCGCCTTCTGCGCCTTTTGCGGCAACGAGAGCCACTACTCTTCCGATTGTCATCTGAATCGCGACAGACCGAAGAGCGAAACGTGGACGCTCAAGAACAGACACCTCTACATCGACAAGAACGCAACCGATGGCCCGATCAGCGACTTCGCTAGTCAGCCCCAGAACCCCAAGTTCGCCCCTCTCTCGATTAAGGGCTCTGCAGCCAAGCGAAACCACATCTTTTACCCCGATAGCGACGGGTCGGAGGAGGGCGAGTTCATCGGTCAGAAGGTGAAGCCGCGTGCTCCACTCGGCAACATTCAGATGTCGACCAACCTTCAGATTAACGCTGGCAACTTTGGACCACCACCGCAGACGCAGTCAAACGGGCGTGGCCAGCAGCATCAGCGGAATGGGTGGTCAGCGCAGCCTCCCCTCCCTCCAGGCCCTCCACCTCCAGGCCCGCCACCACAGGGCTCGTACTCGCGAATGTCGAGAAGCCACAACAACCAGTCGCGCCAGCCCGCGAACGGTTTGCCTCCCAAGCCCCCCGCGCCGCAGTCGCAGCAGCATCACGGTCACAGTAGCGCAGGCCCACCGTCGAACGGGCGAGGAGGACCGAATATGCCCAAGAAGCAGAGGACTAGGAACCAGTCTGGAAAATCCCATGCGGGAGCCTCGCAGCAGCAGCAGCAGCAGCAGAACGGTGGGGGCTCGGCGGCATCGCGCCGCAGGGGCAAGAACAAACGCGGTGGGAAGCAAGGATGAGCGTTTGGAATGATTGGCTAGCGCGCGACGCCGTTGAAAAAAAGGGGCGTAAGGTACAATGGATGGGTGTGTGTCGCGCGACCGCGAGCAAAGATGGTGGTGGTGGTGGTGGTGGTGGTGCGAAGTCACGGGAAGAGGCGAGGAACATCATGTACGACAAAGTGTACAGAGTTGAGACAACAAACTTCGAAGCGAGATCGGAAGAGGAGACAGCAGCGCGACGAATGCGCGACGACAGCCTTGCCTTGATGGTTGGGTGAACGACTATGGACGAACTGCGCGGCGAGGGGGAGGGAGGGGTTTAGCTTTTACATTTTTTGGCAGCAGGAAGATGCGTTTGCGTCGGGCCAATCGTTGCGCATGCGCAAGTTGACGTGGACCGCCCGCACATAACGGAACTTCCATCCTCGGGGGTGGTAGATCATATCATTGAACCAGAGCCGGAGAGCGGGCGGGAACAATTAGTATCTTATGGAGAGAGAGGCACTCAGTACGGTAGTTTCTTTTAATACCCCCCTGGTTATTCGCACAGAAAGGCCGATGGGGTGGGAATACTACTATTTTGCGTTTGAACTTTTGTAATTGACCTTGTGTGCTTGTGCCTGGATTCTGAAAAATTCTCTTCGCTTGGAGAACATGATTTCTGAATAGCCGAGATCGCTCGGGTCTATAAGAAGACTAACAAGGAATATCTCAACATTTGACTCATTGCGAATGCCACGACATCAAAAAAAGACCCTGGCTGGCGCTTTCGTGGCTGGGGGGAGTAAAATTGAATCATTGACGGTGAAGAGGCCCGGTCGTCTGGGAGATGCTAAAATATGCTCTTTACCGCAAGTTTCTGAACATGGGAGAGGAAAAAATCGTCAAGGGCTCGCGGCTAGGGGTGTAAGAAGAAGAAGGCGAAGGAAAATCATCGTGGGCCTGTCACCGGGGGGTGTCTATTTCTTTTGATATTATAGACCAAGGACGGCGCTTAGTGTAGGCTTGGGTGTGTGTGTTAGTCACGATGCTGAAGGGGTTTGTCGGCCACGTCGTGGATATTGCCTTGATTTTCCCCTTGAAAAGTGCTTGGGCTTCAATATAAAAAATTCATGTGGTGCCCTTTTGTGTGGACGGACGAGGGTTTTTTGACGATTTGTCGGTGTGCGCGTGTGCGTGCGTGTGGTGTGTGTAAGTGCGCTGTTGCGAACTTGCGGTGCGTTCAGTCTGGGGGCTGGGTTAAAGTTGTGGATGCTATATCTTTCCTCTTCTTTTTTGAACATTTGGTTCGTGATGCATGGGTTTGATGCAATGGTTTGGTGGGTTTGCCAAGTGGATATTAGTGTAGACTGGGAATCGGGAGACGGGGGGAAGTTGAGAATGAACCGGGGATGTTGGGACTTGGGTAAGGGGTTTTTCTCATCCTTGGGAAGAGAAACGTGGGTTGTGGGTTTTGATGACGATGGCCTTGTCTTTTTGGGTATTTGGGCTCTTGGAGTCTTGGGTCTTGGGATCCCGAGACCGGGGTGTATTGATGATGGACACCGTGGACCACGGGCCCTCTTGTTCATGGGTTGTGGTAAGAAAGTGTCTCTGTCGCAAAGTTGTGGGATATGTGTTTGGTTCACCGGCGACGATGGACTCGTTTGCGATGCCCGGGACGGCGGGAACGACCAGGGGGTGGTGCACGACGTGGCTCCAAGGGTCTCTTCTGTCCCTGTCTCTTTTACCGCTGGCTTGGCCGTGCCCCTGGTCTGATGATGTATGTAGTACGGATAGACAGGGGGGAGGGTTTGAAAGTTTTCGAGTCAAAACAGAGGAAATCTTTTGCTAGGCTGGCAGGGTAAATCGTATTGGTTCTGGGTGTGCGGTTGAATGGTGATGGAGAGGGTGGAAAGAGAAGGGTGTGGCATTTTTTTGATAATGGGGACGATGCAGTCGTGATGTGGACACCAGGTGACGATCAACCAGGGTGGTCTTTTTCTGATGGGTTGTGGTTGTCGGTGTAAGTACGGAAGTATGAGGGTTGCGCTTAGCTGTGGATGATAAGTGATGGGAGTGTCCAAGGGTTTGTCTGCGACGGGACGGTGTGATGCAAAGTGCTGCGATGCATGGAAGTTGCAAAGGGGAAAGAAAGAACAAACGATGCGTTGAGAAGAATCGAAGCTTTCCAGGGCGGGGGGGTTTGTTGTTTTGTCTGTTTCGGGGGAGTACGGCGACTAAAGTACTAGGTTGATGTACGGAGTATGCATAGACTTGGACTTGAAGTTGACAAGAGAGATCATGGGATGGACTAGATGCAGGTCAGTTGACTTTTTTTTTTCTTTTTTTTTTTTTTTTTGAGGCGAGAGTCTGAGAGATGCAGGAAAAAAAAAACCCTTGCGATTGCTGCTCCGACCGTTGACGCGGGCTTGGGATAATGAGGGAGCTGGTTCCGAAAGACTCTACGTAATTACCAAGGTACCCGAGTTCTGAGAGTTGAGTTGTGGTCTGCATCTCAGTCTGTGGTCTAAAGGTTCGTTGTGGGTGGTGGTGTTTCGACCTGTAGTTATGTCAGCCCCATTTTGTTCAATGGTGAAGAGGTAAATTTCAAGCATGTGCTCTTGTGTGTGCGGGCGCTTCATTCTCGAGAGAGCCGAGCCATTCAAGACTGCCTTGCCTGCCTGTGGTTAGAAGTGCTGTGGAGTCTTTGGATGCTGCATGAGTTGAACAGGCCGGCCGGCTGGCCGGGCTACGTCAACTTTCCAACCTGGAATTGGAGTTTCGTGGGAAAGCATTTTTCGGGGAATGAAGGATGGGATGCGCCGGTTGATGTCCGAACCCGCAAATGCGCAAACAAATTGTGGGGTTTATCGCATGGGTCGTCGAGTGGAACAGACGACTTTTCCAACGACGTCTCTCACCGCGTGGGATTCGTTCGATTCCTTTTTTCTGTATTCCCAGAAAGAGGTGCTTGCTCACCTCTACCGGGAAGCGGATTGGTTGGAAATCAAAGAGCTGGCGACGGTTTCCCGTCTGATCCGCGGTTGATTCGCGGATTCCGCAAAGACACCCCCAGCATTTGCGCGACGGACCTCACTGGTCAATGGGCGAACGTCTCCGTAAAGGTATGCAGAATGCAGAGTAGTGGATCGTCGAGAGAAGAGTCATAAGTCATCCATCGTCCGTGTGTCCACAACGGCATGCATGGGGGTGTGGTCGAGGGGAAGGGACGACGACGCTACTGTACTGCAGCAGCAGAAGTGGACTATGCGCGGCAAGTCAACACCCTTGAACCTGCCTATGCCTCTGCCTTTGCCTATGCTTCTGGCTTTCTGGCTTCTCTTGGTTGACCTCGCGTCCACGTCCGGAAAGCCGTACATTTGCCAAGGGGAGACTACACATGGTAGACGAGGGGTTTCTGGCCACAGCCCTAGCCTCGTAGCCCTGTGTTTCGCGAAAATGGAGGTATGGCTGGCACGCTGGCTGCTGGATGGATGGTGTGGCGTGGTGTAAGGTAGGTTGTTGTTCGAGTGGTGGGTGTATTGTCTTTGGCAGGCAAAAGGTGGTGACAGCATCGAGTTTACCCGTTTGAAACAGCACACCGGGCTTTCTCGTGCCACGACGCTGATCAGATCACCAGAGGCTGTCGAGTCTCTGTTTGATATCCCGGAGGCGAAAGCGAGAAGCGGACAGACTTCAACAAACGTCAAGATCGAGACCGTGGACGAACCACGGCAAGAGGGAGGGGTTCATTCGTTCCCCCGAAGTTGATGCATCTTCCATACTAGCGGGCTCCCTCCTCAGACTACCTTCCATGCTACCAGTACCAGGCTATATCGCCACGCGGAGGGGAAGCCAAAAACAATGAGTAAGAAAGGAAACGCCGGACTCTCGAACATCCTCCACCAAGCCCATGATCGTCGAAAGATCCACCCGGCAGAACAAGACACACCTTGAAAAGCGAACCCAGGGAACCGAAGGGCAGTGCAGTTCAGTCAGTCGAGGTGGAAACACCAGACGGGCGGGGGGCCACCCTCTGTCAAGACTCAAAAATGCCACAGACAAGTGAGATAGCGTTGTGGTCAGCGCTTAGACTTATACGCACAAAGCACGAAACGACTGGTCGTCGACGATAGACGCGCTCCCGTAGCTCCCGTCCACCTCCCGGGGCACAGACGCGTACCTTTCGCGTCTCTGGCGAATCACGGCGAGGCATGTCGTCGGGTGCATGACCAGCCTCCCGGGTTTACGGCCAATGGGTGGCCGTGTTGACGGACGTTTGACGTGCCGGTGGAACAATCGCCGGCTTTTTGTGGAGACTGTACCCGGATGGAGTGATTAGACTTAAATTTTTTTTGGCGTAAGGATAGAGTTCTTATCGATAGCGCTTCTCCCACAACAAGCTTACCTCTTTTTGACTTTTTGGCAGTGTCCAGTTCCAGTCCTGCAGATCCACAGCCAGGAGCAGGAGAAACGAAAGAAAGGCCAAAAGCCACCACTACCAGTCAGTCCACCACCACCCATGACATCGACATGCAAGCTGCTGCGCCCGGGGCTGGCTCGGGCGATGGGGCCGGCGATGGGGCCGGCGACTGGGAACCGGGAATAGGAAAATGACCATGGGTTGACGGGCCCAGAAAGATCAAAGACCACGACAGTACTCCGTAGACCACGAAAGGAACCGGCAGGTATCCTGCCATCACCTGCAAAGTCCCGCACCAGATAGAAACAAGCAGTCTCATCCTCGGGACGCCCTCAACCACTGGCACGACTTGAAACAAATTCCTTGGCGACCGGGGGGAGGCATACCCTCAGGAGAAAGAGAGAGAGAGAGAGAGGGCTGCTTCAGTGCTTCTTCTCTACTTGCGGTTTCTGCATTTTGCTGCAAAGCTAATGCGACTCCATGGTCTTTTGGACCTTTTCCTTACTATCCTTTCGTCTCGTCTCCCTCCATCCTTTTCGTCCTGCTAGGCTAACGTGGTCGTCCCGCGCGAGAAAGGGTGACAAGGCGTGGAACCAATCACACGGCCGCAACACGTCGCCAACTCGCCATTTCTGGACACTCTTCCTACAAACCTTGAACCGCATCGGGTGTGGTGTGATGGTGGGTGTGGCACGAGCTTTACACGCCTACACGTCCACCCACGCCCATTCTCTCGATTCTCCATCTTAGGGACGTGTCTCCCCATCCCGCGCGCCCGGGGTCCATGTCTTTTTCTCTCGTGGATGCGAAAAATAAGTGGATGGACAGAAAATGGTACACAACAACCGCGTGGAACTTGGGGAAAAAAAAAAAGAGGCTACACTAGTCTTGCATATGCAGGTCTCGACAGAGGTGACTCACCCGCCAGTCGTTCCCACCGAGGAGCTACGGAACGATGCGGCCAAGGGTTGAGCAAAGAGGCTGGCTCCGGTTTACAACCTGGAGGAGTCTCTTTAGTTTTCGCATGTGTAGGTGTAGGTGTAGCTGTATGGAGCATCCGTACATTCAAACCTTGTCAGATGGGATATCCTGCGAAAAGAATTCGTGTGGTGCTACGGATACTCAACTTTCATCCAAATCAGTTCCCCCCCCATGTAAGAGAGAAGAGTCGAGAGAGTATATTTGCCTCATCCTCCCACCACCCAATTCCGTTTGGCCTGATTTTCGAGACCTGCTTCTTCTCTCTCTACTTTCCATTGTTTCCAATTTCGATACCCCCCCCCCCCCCCCCCGTCTTGCTCGTTTCATAAGACGACCGACAACAGCTCATACATATATACCGAGGCATTATCCTAACTTGGTATTACTGTGAGAAAACAGGTTGTGAATAACCTCATTCGCCCATTGTGAAGAAAGGGATCTGTTTCAGAACAAGAGAAAGAAGAAAGAAAGAAAAGAAAAAAAAAACCCCGAGTCTTGATATACTCCCCATCGTCCATCCTACTGAAAGAAATTACCCTCGACCTACGTTACCTACCTACCTCACCTTACCTGATACCCGCCAATACACAAAACTTTCGGTGTTGAACCAAAGTCAGAACACGTCTGCTTTGGTATATCCCACAAACCACACCTCGCCCTACAAACACCATTTACTCTCGACGACCAACAACACCAACCCCCCCAAAGCCTGGAGTTCCACAACGACATGAGAAAACAATGGCCGCCCACCAAACCCCGTTCTACTGCCTCTGGCAGAAGGAACACGCCCACCTAGGCTCAGCAGTCCTCGACCTCCTCCCCAAACGCGACCTCGCCGCCCTCCGCCTCGCAAGCCCAGCCTGCTGCAACATCGCCACAAAACCCCTCTTCAAGCGCGTCCGCGTCACCTTCTCGGCAAACACCTTTACCAAACAATCCCGCATCCAGGCCCTCGCCCGCGTAGGCCACCACATCGAACACCTTCACTTCCACTTCGCCCACACGGAAGCAACCTTCCTCCCTCCGCTTGTCCATCCGACCACCGGCCGCGAGATCTCGTTCCTCTACACCCCGCACACGAGCATGGCCTCCGTCCTCGCCCGTCCCAAATACGCCAACACGGAACTCGGCGAGATCTTGACGCAGCAGTACCCGCCCCTTTTTCACGCCGCCACAAACGTCCCCAGCTTCATCAACGCCCTGCGCTACCTCACCAACATCCGCCACCTCACCATCCGCTGCCCGGGCCAGGACCCGCAGGAGCGCTACCGCCGCGACATTGTCGACTACGCCATCATGTCCCTCCGCATCGCCGTCGAGCGCGCGCCCCTCGAAGCGCTCGAGAAGCTCTCCCTGTCGGGCATGCACCCGTCCTCTTTCAACTACCTCCGCCACGTCCCCGGCTTCGGCGCCGTCCCCTCCGCAGGCCGCCGCTGGAAACAGATCCGCAAGCTCAACATCTCCGTCGAGGCATGGGACTTTTACGGCCCCTCCCCGGGGTTGGACCACCTGAAGATCATGGACGACTACATCCGCCAGTTCTCCGGCACCCTCGAGAAGCTTCACTTCACCTGGCTCGGCCCCAAGGGACCCTGTCCCATCGCCCTCTCCGCGGACCCCCTCTTCGCGCCGCCGAAACACAGCAAGAAGCTCTTTGCAGAGGTGACGTCGCCCATGTCGCCCCTTCCGCCGGCGCCGGCCCGGAAGCCGATGCACTTCCCCCGCCTGCGGTACATGCAAGTCCGCAACGCCACCATGACGGCCGCCCAGCTCTCGGACCTGGTCGACGCGCACCAGAAGACAGTAAAGGAGTTCGATTTCGACAACGTCGTGCTCATCAACGGCGGCGACTGGGAAGAGGCCCTGGCGCCGCTCATGGAGAAGAGCGGCTCATCATCCAGCCATGGCGGCAACGGCAGCGGCAGCGACATCTGGTCGCAACACTCGCGGAGCAACTCCGAGGCCGGCAGCCTGCACTCTGACCCGGAACCCTACCACGATGACGATCTGCCATCGCCGTCCGCCGCGGCGGCCGCTGCCACTCGAGAACTACTCGACTTTGACCTCGGCAGCGAATTATACGTTGACGAAGAACTATTCGATCCATATGACGGCCTCGACGAGGATCTGGCTTCAGACCTCGCGGCCGCGAAGGAGGCCAGTACCTCCTTCAGCACAATACTAAAGAAGAAGCGAGTCCACCGGCGCAGAAAGCACCGCAAGGACGACGGCGACAAGAACAGCAAGGAGAGCAGCAGCAGCAGCAGCTCAAAGGAGAGCTCGTCGCGGCACCACAGAAGCCGCAAGCACAAACACCACAGGGAGCAGCCGCCCGTCCCAGAAGAGGACGACGTCTTCCGCCCGTCGACACCGGTGCCCATTATCACGGCACCGATCCAGGACACGTCCCCGCACCCGGTCCTGCTCCAGCCGGCGGTGTACGACCCGAACGCCAGCCGGCTTTCGGACCCCAATGACGGCATCTCTTCAGTGCAGCGTAATATTGAACAGGAGGAGGCGCACCGCATGCTGGCCGAGGATGCGGCGATGCGGGTCAGCGCGCTCCGCAAGGCCAAGGCGGCGGTGCTGATGAAGCTCTCGAGGGAGTTCAACCACCGCAAGGGCTCGCCGGCACCCGTGGCGAATAAGGACAGCTGCGGGCTGCAGATGCGGTTGAGGGAAGGGCTCTTTGGGAGGAGCTTTGTGAGCGTGCTTCCAGACGACCGGTCCATGTCGAGCCAGTCGGCGCTGGTGCCGCTAATGTTTACGAGATCATGATCATCATGTATGCCCCAGACACACGATTCTGTATATCTGTTATGTAAGTCGGGAACACAAACTGCACTGTGTATCCTCTTGTACGGACTGGACTTGGCAGGTCGGAAGGATATGGCGGGGAAAAAACAAGCCGGGAATTGGCCTGGATAGGCCGGCGGCGACGACAGGAGGCATTATGACTTTTGTAATGACTTGACGATACACTACTTTCCTTTCACTGTCAATTTTTTCAGAATAACAATATTCCAAACAAACCTTGACTGCGTGTGATTCGTTTCGTAAACGTGCTGCTTGTCGTTGTCTCCATTGCAAAATGTTTCGACACCGTGAATCGCGGATGGGGCGGATGGATAAACAAATCCGAGGAACTGGACCGAGGTGCGGAGACGGCGAATCAAGAGAGCTCCGTGGCTCGGCGAGGCTGGTTGAACGCGTTCGGTGAGGGAGTAGTGTCCAGCGGGCAGACCGGGAACAACCCAGCTATGCTTTCGTGCTGGCTGGGCTCAGAGGTGGAGTAAACAACGGGACAGCGCGTGGTGGGTGGTAGGTGGCGGGCTGGGATTGAGATGTGAGATCTCGCTGTTCTGGTGCTGCTTTCAGATCATGTCCTTGCAGCGAAGCATAACACTGGTGCGGCGTGGTAGGGTCAGCCGACGGGTAAGGCAGTCTGGACTCGGCGGGTGGATAATATGGTCGTGAGAGCCTGCTACTCGTCCGCAAGTTGCCAGACAGTGTCGCGGTGGCGGTTATGGCGATGGCGATGTTGACGCATCTTCACGATGGCCGCGATTTCCACGATGGGCGGGACTGCGGCAGCTACCAGCAGCAGACTGCCAGACTGCCAGACTGCCAGCGGCCCGGGCTTCATTGTACAGTGTTCCAGAGGTGGCAGCGCAGATGAGCTGACGCGGGCCTCAAAGAAGAGAAGAAGCAAGATGGCGGACGGGTTGGATGATTTAGGGTTAGAGGGGTTTCCGTCAGCTCATTAAAGCCACGAGACCCGCTTTCATCCGAGGCGTTGCAGAAGCAGCTTATCCCACAGCGTAGCCTCATCTCCGGGACATTTCTAGCATCTGGCGAGGGTCAGTGGCGAGTGCCTAGGGCAGCATTGGAGGTGGGAAAGCTAGCTCATGTTGCGATGGTCAAGGGAGCCAGATTTGCCAGGAGGGACGGGAAACGTTGGACGGGGATGGGAATGGCATTGTGCAGGGGTAGAAGGGGGGGAGAGAGAGATTAGAGATCAGGAGGAGACGGTATTTCTTCAGCGTAGGATTTGGGGGCATAAGAGAGCTAGGTATTCGACCGGATATACCTTACTTCGTAGAATATGGAAAGGATGTGGAACGAGCACCCGTAAGTAGTAGAGATGAGAATGTGAATACCTACCTACCTGCTCTGTATTCAGCTGTATCCGTAGCTCAAGTTGGAGCAGCAAGACCTCGATGGCCCGCCGGAATGAGATCGCTGGGATTTCCCGGATGAGGTGCGCACTGCAGGCTGGCACGGCTGGGTGAGGAAACGGCATTGCCTTGGCTGCATCCAGAAATGTTCTATACTCAGTGCTGTATCCGTATCGAGTAGTTGTGTAGGTGGTATTCGTGGACAGTGGCAATTGACAGGCTGGCAGTGCCCGTATGTTGGGCTGGATGGTTGGATGGTGGATGTGTGGTAGATATCCCTCGTGTTCCTCCGTTGTTTGAGAGTGATGTGAGTGACTTGTTGTTGTCGTCGCGCATGTCAGCGTCAATCGGCGATGAGAGGCAGCCCCCCCCCTGGGGGGCCATGGCCCATGGGGGCGAAGGGGGGGGGGGGGGGGGGGCAGAAGAAAAGAAGAAGAGAAGCATCCAGGCATTGAGGTGTTGCTCGCTCCATTGCAGAGAAGTAAGGTACCGTGTACGGAGTATGGGCGAAAATGTTGCAAATGCCAAAAGCTGCGAATGGCATAGTCAGGGCCTAGACTGTCCGTGGACCGCTGGACTTTACCGGTCGGGACTTGGGAATAGAGCAATCCATGGCACAAGTGGACAGGGGGAGCGGGGATTGGACGAGGGGGTCCCCAGTCAGAAGCGACGAATAGACTTCCTGGCTCCGGTCCATCGTTGATCGATGCGGGAGACACTTGCGACATTCACCTACGAAAGTCGTGGACAGGTACCTGCGAGAGACTTGCGCTGCACCTTTCCTCACCTTTCTCACCTTCCTCGACTACCTATCCGCATCGTCTCTCAGTCTCAGGTCTCTCCTTCTGCTTTCTACCACTCACACGAGTGCACTTTCCTCCAAAACACTGCACGCATATCGATTGCTTCTTGCCCAATCCAAACAGCTGCCTTACATAAGACACCACTTTTACCTATACCTGTATAGGTACATGCCTAGGTGAGGTAAGTACTATCCGTGCGAAGTACCAAGTCATGAACAGCTACCGCAGCCAAGCCACCACCACTCCCCATATTATGTGCTTATGTGCAGACCTACGCAAGCTCGGCCACCACTTTTCCCTCCCCATACTCGGGTGCTATGCCTGGGCCATTTGACGATCTCGCGGGGAAGCACGCCGAATGAGGTGCTTTTCTTTCCCAAGTCTCCTGTGCACCATTCCACAACGTTTGTGTACCTCGACAGCTCAAGCTCTTTCTCTCCCACTTACCCGTATCTTGCTCGGCATCGATGAACACGCACTCTTTCGGGGTTCTTCAGCAATCACCTTATCCAATAAATCTTGGCCAAGAAGGACGATAACAATACAACGAGATAAATTACAACAGTGGCCCTATGACAGACCCCAGTAAACACTATCTCAGCCCCAAGAGCCGTGCTCGCCATCTGTAGCCTCAAATAGCTGCCGTGGCGCAGAATAGTCCCAGCGTTGCTAAGACTCAGGAGAAGTGCAAAATCGGCCCATATCTCTATCACTCCTCTCCCACCGCCCGCACCAACGACAAGAGTTGCCAGCAGTTTGATGGCCTAGCAAGCCCGTTATTCCACAAGCTTCACCCTTACGAGACACTACCGAGATAGCGTCTTCCACACGTGTGTGATGCTCCGCGCTAACGTAGGATACCAAGAATACGGGTAGCTTCTGTGCTTCTGCCTGTCTTTGCGCGACTGTCTCGTCTCTAACAGGACGCGGGCATGGCAGAGCATGGCAACTGCTCGGACTGACAGCCAGCTAAGGTGCCGTAGCACCACGGTAAGGTAGCTAGCTCCCTCGAGGTGCTGCCGTACCTACCTACCTACCTAGTAGCTCTTCCTCGTCCCCTCCATGAAAATTCCCATCAGTCCTCGTCCTTCATCATCAGTCTCACCGTCGTTACACAGGTGACATACAGATCCCGTCCTCAGGCCCGTTGCAACTTTCTCGCCTATCCGTAGAGCTTTCCCTTTCCATCCACGCAGTCGGGCTTGTAAATGTCTCGTTTCGTTTTGGGTGCTGTGTGGTGTGTCTTGGTAATTTCGCGAAGCGCTTTTCGTCCATCCCCTTCGTGGACGAATTCCGTCAGGTCGTGGTCAAGAAAGAAGAAGTACCTTTCTGGCCTTAATCCTACTGAGAAATACATTACCAGCTGGCACAGCAAATATCTCTCCTCCATTTCTTCCGCCCCCTTCTCTTCTGTGCTAGACCAAAGCAAAGTCGACTGTACGTACCTTGAAAGTACTCCCCCATTCGCAACTGCAGTTTCTGGGTACCTACCTTACTCTCCACTGCGACTCCAACGTACTTCGTACCTACCCTGAACCTGATCCTAGCGGGTCGACATCCCAGCTCCTCCCGCGGCTTCACCCTCAGCGGCCGGTCTTCTTGTGCTCGCCCTTGTCAGCCCATTCCATTCCACTCAGTCACCCTCCGCTTCAACCGACACCAAGACAATCCCTCGTCTGTCGGCCAAACTATTCTCTCCTGTGACGAATTTCCCAAGACAATTTTTGTTCCGTCCTCCACGCTCATTTCGACTGTCGGCGCATTTTGGCTCCCCAATCTGACGGCCATCTTCGCCTATGAAGCCCCCCGAATACCGTTTGCAAGTCATCACAAATCCCTGCTGCTGTGAGCGAAAAGGAAAACGAAACGAAATCTTTGGGGAAATTGCGGATATCCAGTCAACCGCCGCGATTTCTGCTCCTGGGCGACCGCGTGCCAAGCAAGCGTTCGAGAAAGACTTGCCGCCAGCCAAACTTGTCCAACGACAACACCAACGCGACACATCGAAGTAGGATCCCAAGAATCACTTTTGCAGACGATGAAGGCCGCCCAGACACTGCCAGACTCCTCATTATAGTCTGTTCAAAATGGGCGTCAGGGTCGCCATTCGAGAACAGCTCGCCTTCCTCGTGGTGATTGCTGTTCTCGTTGGTTTGATGATCCTCTCCGTCCCCGTCTGGATCTACGTCAATCAGTTTGTCACCCAGGTCGAAGGGCGCGAACTCGCCCTTACTGCTTCGCTCAAAGCTTCGCGCATTTCTGCCGAGCTCGAACTCGTTCAGACCAGCATCATCACCATTTCTTCCCGAATCCTGATCCAGAATTCCATGTTCACCTTCTACGATGGAAACACCACAGACGAGAACTGGGCTCAAGCCAGAGGCGATCTTAACAGTGCCTTGAGCGTTGGTGGTCTCACGGGTCTGTTGCAAGGGAGAATTTATTCACGAAATAGCACTGGCAACGTCCATGGCCTACTCAACGTGACTGGAGAAAAGGTACCCGAAATCGCTTTACCATATCCCGGCGCCAATGGTTCCCAAATCTTCCTTTCCGACACCGCCGAGGGCTACCCGCCAGCCCTCTACCCGAACATCACCTACAAGGATCTCGGCCGCCAGAATCAGTACAGGAACAACACTCGGGCTTATGCAGCCGACGCGTTCCCTGGAGTTAGGATTTCCACAAACGGCGGTCTACTGCTTGGCCCTATGATTCTCAATGAGACGACTGCCCTCATGTCTATTACCGTGCCGATCCGGTATAACCAACAGCAGGAATTCATTCTAGGCTATATGACGCTTGTCGTCACGGCAAATTCCCTTATTAGCATCCGCAATTCTCGAGAGGGTCTGGGGGATACTGGACTGGTGCTGCTCGTCGGGCCTACTGAGAAGTCGAACAGGTTCAATTCCAGTAATGCGGTCAGCAACAGCACCTACAAACCAGCCAACGACGCCCTCAACAACGTACTGGTGAACTTCGTCCTACCGCCCAACCCGTTACCTGGGCAGGATGACCGGCATGATAAGAGGAGTTGGTCAGTCGGCAAAGACGACAACCCGTTCCCAATGAAGGATTATCCGGCAGTTCTCAATTCCTTCAGCAAGCAAATCGCGACACCAAACAACTCAAGCTCTTTGCTTTCTACGAACAACGAACAGGGTTTTCCGGTGGCTGTGGGGTTTGCAAGGACCAACACCGCCCTCGTCAACTGGACTGTCGTCGTGGAACAAGCCAGATCAGAGGCCGACGCTCCTATCAAGACATTGCGGAATATCATTCTGGGATGTGTTTTTGGCACAGCAGGTCTCACCATAATCCTCATATTTCCTTGCGCGCATCTTAGTGTGATGCCTATCAGGAGACTCAAGTCGGCGACGGAGAAATCGATTCAGCCACCGGGATACGAGGATGGAGATTATTCCGAATTCGACGACGACGAAACTCCTGGATCGGGTGGAATTTCAGCACGAACACAACGTTCCAAAAAGGACGGCATCATCACCAGCATCTTCAAGTTGGTAGGATACAAACCCAAGGAGAAGCCGGCCTCAGAGCACGATCGCGATTCGACCCGACGCATCTTCAAAATCCCCGGCAAGGTCACTGACCGGAAACACTTCATCACCGACGAGTTGACCGAGCTGACGGAAACCTTTAACGACATGAGTGACGAGCTAGTCAAGCAGTACCTTTCTCTGGATCAAAAGGTCTTGGAACGAACCCGTGAGCTCGAAATCAGCAAGAAAGCCGCCGAAGCCGCCAACGAAAGCAAGACTCTCTTTATTGCGAATATCTCACACGAACTTAAGACGCCCCTTAACGGTATCCTAGGCATGTGTGCCGTGTGTATGGAGGAGAGCGACATTCTCAGGATCAAGCAGTCGCTCAAGACACTTTACAAGTCAGGTAAGTGTGGTCGGGCATGCTCGTTACCCTGCACCTTGCTAACCACATCTAGGCGACTTACTACTCCATCTACTCGAGGATCTTCTAAGCTTTTCCAAGAACCAGATTGGGCAACAACTCAACCTGGAAGAGAAGGAATTCCGTCTGGCCGATATCAGATCGCAAATTTTGACCATCTTTGACAAACAAGTCAAAGAAGGCCGAATCACCCTGACCGTCAACTTCCTCAGCTCCGAAGCGATCGAACTGAGCACTAGCCCGGAGAGAACTAGCACCGACAACAGACTACCGGCTCTTGGACCGCACGGGACCGGCAGACTGAAGGACATGTGCCTATGGGGTGACCAGCATCGCATCCTCCAGGTCATCATCAACTTAGTGAGCAACAGTGTCAAGTTCACGCCGGCAGGTGGCAGGGTTGATGTCCGCATCAAGTGTATCGGCGAGGTGGAAACCCCACCGGCAAATGATGGCAGTCGATCGTCATCGTTCTCGAAGGAAGACAGACGACATGGCAGAAGCCGACACCGAACGAACAATAGCTCGAATCCGTCTGTGAGCTCTAGGGGAGGCTCGACTTCTGAACCCGTCAAGGGCACTGCTTTAAGCATCAACCCGATGGAGCCCAAGTCGACACCTTACATTCAGGTTCGGGAGCGATCCCCTACGCCGCCACCGCCTGGTGCGAAGGCCTTCGTGTTCGAGTTCGAAGTGGAAGACACCGGCCCGGGTATCGCCGAGCACATGCAGCAGAAGGTGTTTGAACCCTTTGTGCAAGGCGACCTAGGTCTGAGCAAGAAGTTTGGGGGCACAGGCTTGGGATTGAGTATCTGCCACCAACTTGCAAGTCTGATGGGTGGATCTATCTCCCTAAAGAGCACTGTCGGGGTTGGCACGACGTTCACTATGCAGATTCCCCTGAAATATGTCAAGGACAGGTACGTATAGATGATTGTGCAACAGTTGTGTTGATGTACTGACGACGGGGTTTCACAGGGCCTCCAGCACGGCGTCCAGCAGCATCAAATCTCGGCCTCCAAGCGTTGATGCTATTGAAGGCATCGATAGTGTCCATAATGCGAAGCGTAATTCCGGCGGGGCTCCCGTGAGCCCACCCATCAAGCCGGCGGGAGAAACGACTGCGAAGAACCTTCTTGATCAACAACCAAGACTCGTCGGCCTTAGCCAGCCTTTCTTCGCGTCAAATCCAGCGCCCAAAGCGAAGCGAAACACCAAGCAGCAAATGGCAGCCATCGATCGGGCAATTGCCACGAAGGCCAACCAGGAAGGAAAGCTACGAGTACTTGTCGCTGATGACAATTCGACAAATATTGAGGTTGTCAGCAAAATGCTGAAGCTTGAGGACGTCTATGATGTCACCATCGCCAAGGACGGCCAGGAAGCGTACGACCTGGTCAAGGCGAATATGGATAAGAACCAAGGATTCGACGTCATCTTTATGGACATTCAGATGCCCAATCTCGATGGCCTGCAATCAACAAAACTCATCCGCAAAATGGGTTACAAAGCCCCTATTGTGGCGTTGACCGCCTTCTCAGAAGAAAGCAACGTCAGAGAATGCATGGAGAGTGGCATGGACGAATTCCTGAGTAAGCCAATTAGACGACCTGCGCTGAAGCAGGTCCTTAAGAAGTTTGCGACCATTCCGGAAGAGCCCGAAACAGCGAGCTTGTCAAGGAAAACGACACCAGAGAAACCCACACAGGCAAAGCCAGCAGCTACTAACGGTAGCGGGCCAGCAGCCGCTCCGGAGATGAACGAGAAAGGGGATGCGATCCATCCGGTTGGAAACGGAGCCGCAATCGCGCCCTCGTCTGAGCAACCCCTATCGGAAAAGGGGCCATAATTGACGCTTAATGACTTTTCAGCAGCAGGCAGAGAGACACTTGGTCTTGAGATGCCTCACAGCACATATTCGCATAGGATTCCCCCTTTTCCCTTCGTTTGGAAGCGACATACAAAAGTTGGCGTCAGGGCGTTTTTTTTTTTTTTTGATCTTTTCACAATCCCTTTTGTGTACGTATTCGTAATGATCCTGCTCGGTCTCTGAGGCACCGAAGCAGGGCTGCTCAGGCTAAGCTTGGGCATGTGTCAACATTCTCTATTGGGAACGAAAACGGGTCGGGTTGGTCCATTGTGACCAGGTAGTCGGGATCCCCAAGAAAGGGGCGGGGAAACATTCGTTGCCAGCAAGCACAAGCAGCATATCAGAGGGGGAGGCTGCGACGCATACGGAGGTTCCTTTTTTTTTTTCTTTCTTGTCATATGGGCGGCGTTCCGGGCGTACACGAAAATATCCGGACACGCATGGGTTTTCCTTCTCCCGATCAAAACGAAGACGGGGGATGGATGGATGGGGTAGTTTAGCGAGCTAAATACGCATACGGGTGAAAGAAGATACGACGGAAAAGACACCAAGAGCAGAGTAGAGAGAAAGAGAGACACACGGAGAGGGAGTGTTGTTGGACATGGGTACATTTTCATGTCGAGTAATGCCGATGACTATCTTGCTTCATCGATTGGTCTTCTAGTATCACAAAGTCGTTGTAACATCCTCTGATCATCTGTCCTTTCCACTTGAAGTGATTATATCGTTTTGTCCGGCATGAGATCAAGCTAGCATGAGTGCTTTGGGTGTGAACATGTGTATCACGAAACAAATTACAGCCGTCTATACTGGAATGTTATCAGGCCAGATATGCCAAGTATGAGCCAGCCTAGATAGGCCAATTAACCTTGCCATAGAAGCAAAAGAGCAGTAAGCTTGTGTTTATGAACATTGCATTGGTTCTATGTATCTCCATCTGCCGAGAGACTGTACCAACCATCAATCATGAAAGCAGAGCGAAATTATCAACCGTTCGTTCCATCGAAAACCTTGTCGTCTGCCGTGGCAGCGACGAAAACCCGTGACCTCAACGCCAAATAGAGAATCACCATACCAATCCCGTTGTAGGTGCATGTCGGAGAACGCATCTACCAGCCGCTAGCGCCAGTGTCCTCGGTAGAACCACCGCCGGCACCCCAAGCATCACCGGTGTCGGTGTTGTCGGGGGCAGCATTGGAAGCGCCGAAGTCATCGATGTCCTCCTTGGGAGGGTTGGGGCACTTGTAGCTCTTGTGGCCCATCTCGCCGCAGTTGTTGCACTTGATGCGGGTGACTGTTGAGAAACGTGTGTCAGTATCATGAAGTCAATGAAGAGGGTTAGTCAATAACTCACTGTCGACGGGCTTCTCGCAGTCCTTGGAGAGATGACCCTCCTCGTCACAGTTGCGGCACTTGATCTTGCGAGGCTCAGGGCACTCCCGGGAGACATGGCCCTCCTGGCCGCAGTTGTGGCAGGCACGACCGCCACCACCCTGGGGACAATCGCGAGAGAAGTGGCCCACTGCAGTTGATTAGCTTTTGTCTCTGAAAGAAGCAGTATGAAGGAAGTCTTACTCTCGTGGCACTTGTTGCACTCCACGTCATCGCCAGCCTTGCGAGGCTCGGGGCAATCGGAGACCTTGTGACCAGACTGGCTATAGGAGAGGTTAGTCATTGCGCATTGAGAATGGCCATGGACTTGGGGTACTTACCCGCAGTTTTTGCAAGCGAACTTGTCAACGCGAGGAGTAGGGCCTAGATCAGTCAGTCACTGACGCAAACCAAAGTGAAGCAAGTAGACTCACAATCACGAACACGATGACCCTCTTCACCGCAGTTGTAGCAGGCGATGGTCACGCGAACCTTCTCCATGGGGTCCTGAGGGCACTCCTTGGAGTGGTGGCCAAGCTCGTTGCAGTTGTTGCACTTCTGCATGAGGCGGGAGACGGGCTCTCCAGCATCCTCGAGGCGGGCCAGGTTCTCCTCGGGGGAAGCAGGCCAGTTGGGCTTCTCGCGCTGGCGGTCAGGCTGCGCCGAGAAGCGGTACTGAACAGTGTACTTCTTGTCCAAGTTGCCCTGGAGATCCATGTTGGTGTGGGTAGGAGCCAACACACGCTCAGTGGCGATGAGGTAGATGTTCATATCCTGGGCGCGGAAAGCCTTCTCCAGCTCGACATATCCCATCTCAGGGAAGTGCTTGAGGTACTTCTGGATGGCCTCCTTGGCATCGACGCCATCGCGCTCCTGGATAGCCTCGTGAATCTCTTCCCAGGCCTTGTCAGCATCGACATCCGCGACCGCGGTAAAGTCGAGCTTGCGACGGTTCTTGCAATCAACGATCGCGTGACCTGTCAAAAATCAGATTAGTCTCAAGTCTCGCTCCGCCATTGAAAAGGAGGCAACAACATACCCTCCTCGTGACAGTTGCGGCAAAGATCAGGACTCTTGTTGGGGCAGTCCTTGCGCATGTGACCCTCCTCGTTGCAGATGCGGCAAGTCATGGCAGGAGCGGTGGGACAATCGCGGCGAGTGTGGCCCTGCTCGCCACAAGCGTTGCAAGTGCCATCGAAAGCTTTGCGAGGCTCGGTGCACTCAGCCTTGCTGTGACTATATTTTCATGTGTGTCAGTGTGCGGAAATACGACTGTCGGTAAAATATGAAGTCACGTACCCAGTCTGACCGCAGTTGAAGCAGGCACGGTCGCCTCCATCGCCGCCGTCACCGCCATCGCCGCCCCTGGGGTTGTTCCAGGGGTCATCGGTGGGAATGTCGTTGCCAGCGGAGGCGTTTCCAGTGCCCCAAGCGTCAGTGGTGGCCCAAGGATCAGACATCTTGCTGTAAGCTCTCGAGTAAGAATAGCTGGGTTGCTGTATTCTCAAGAGGGTTGACAGAGAGAGTATGAACTGGTTCAACAAGTCAATAAAAAGACACTCTTCGAGATGCAAAGCAGAGAGAGCGGATGAACAACAGAACAGAGCAGATTGCAGAGTACTATGAAACAAAAGGTTGGGTTTTGCAGAAGGAAAAAGGAAAAGTCGACGTGTGTGAGAAGAGCTTCGAGAGAAAACGTGACCGTATGGAGGAAAGTAGAATGTACAGGTAGGCGCGGTCTAGGCAACAAGTAGAAGGAGCGCAAAACCCATGCTGCCTTTTCTGGGAAAGTGATTCTCATGATTTACGATGAAAACCCTCGCCGTCTTGAACTGCAGAGACAGCCAAAACTTGCGAGGCAGTCATCGTAAATCCAAGTCGCGACGAATTGCTCGGAAAGGGAAGAAAACAAGATAAATCCAACGCCGAAAACAGATGAAATTTGACTTACGATGTGTATCTCAGGGATCTATCTTGATCTTGTTGCGTAATGGAAGTCGGAAACGAAGTGGTGGTGTCGAAAGCTGATTGTGGTTGAGGGAAGCCAAATTTGGTGGTGAGATGGTGAAAAGAGAAAAAGAAGAAGAGGAAGAGGAGCAGGTTTGTGGGAAAGGGTCTAGGTTTAATCCATAGAGAGGAAGCCCTGATCTCCGCTTATGTCGACAAGACCACTACTCTTGTGCTCTCACGATGTGGGTTTCTTGGAGTCGTGAATGCCCGTGGCTGTGTTGAACACATATGAGGGCACTTACATAGCAGACGGGCCACTATTCTGGCCGAGGCATGAAGCATCACCTGACTTGCAGCACTTCTGATTGTATTTGGAAACAGCTGAGAAAGCCTGAGGTTCATTTCAACAGAAAGGATCCATTCAACCATTTGTGAACCCATCCTTGAGTAGCAGATAACCAGTTCTTTGAGAAAAGCTCAGGCACCACTGTTCATGTCACACTCCTTCAAGACTTTAACTCCGAGGCTTGATAGAAAGGGGTTGGTGTTCTGGGCCTACACTCTATGGGTTTCAGATCTATATGCTCTGTCTTGCAAAGCTCAGATCTATATGGATACCAAAGCGAAGCCTGGGAATGCCACCTTTGAGTGAGTACTGGGTTTGAATGACGAGCCTAGTTGAAGTCGGATTTGGATAGGGCACCTGAGAATTTTGTGCTATGCAGTTCGATTGAACCAATGACCTGAACCATGAACCATTTATTGGCCACAATCTACATGTCAACATGCTACTCGTACTGCTATCAGCTGCCTCATTTCAGTGCGCTGCCTCGTGGTAGTTGACTCAGGTTCGCTCTTATGTAAAGCTAAACAGGCTTATGGTATCTTGGGGGACCTGCCACCTTTAGCTTGAGAAGACTGAGGCTCGGCACGATGAACCCGGCTTTCCACAAGAAACCTCGAAATACTGCAATCTGGAATGGGCGTCAAGCTGACTCAATATGAAAGGATGAGGCTGTTCGTAGCATGGTGCGGCTTACCATAGGCACGGAATCACCATCGGAGCCTTTCCTGAAGTACAAAGTACCGTATATTGGCATCTTTTTGGATTATGTCACATGTATTTCACTGTCGTAAAGCCTACAAGGAGACCATGTTCAGGAATTTGGCGCTATATCGTGGATGTCCGATACCACTCGATCAATGGTACGACTTGAGGTCTCATGCATTGGTTGAGCCGTGCATTGAGACTGTTGGCCAAAGACGTGCGAGGCATCATTCGTCGTCCAAGTTCGCCGTATGGGATTAAGACGGCAGTAGCGCAACTTACTCTACACTAAGCTATCGTGTGCAACTGAGATGGCTTCATGACACCTTGATGGGAGAAGCGTCGTTGAAGAATTAGTAAGCTGGCGGCATCCTCGCAAATTCGGGGCAATCGGAGCAGCGAGAATATGAAACATCCCTGGACGACCCGCATTACAGCAGGGGCAATGGTGTAAGGTTGTGTTGGAGGGGCAGTTGGAGGGGTAATTTAGCGCACTACACCCGCAGCTTCGCTTCCAGTTCCTCGACGCGGGTGACGTTAAGATTTCCCGTCTACCTTAGTGTACCTCGATGTCTTTCTTGACTTCTCTTTGATTATCCCTACTATTGTTTTGTGCCACGTGGTCCTAATTGGCCACTGGTAGACTGAGCAAACAAATCAGGACACTTGCTCGCAAGCGTCTCATTCTGCTTATCGAGCAACAAGCTCGGGATAGCTCAATCCCGCCGGTCATAGCTCCAGGATCAGGCAGCGTGAAACCACGACAGCTGCGTCTGTACCAAACCGGTACCCGCGCCAACAGTTCGGCGTGGGATGGGACCATTGGCTACGTGGCTCGCCGGTGACACAACTCGCGGGTCATGGACTTGGATGGCGGGGTTGATACCGGCTGCCCCGCTTCCATGAGCTTGACCACTGGAGATGGGCGATTGAACGGCTGCTGCAGTATCCGTAACCGTGAGAGGAATAGGTTGGGCCCCACGCTGGCCTTTCGACATGGGCCATGGGCATGGAGCTCCAATGGAGATTCCTTTTCAGACACGAGCTCGTCGAACGAGGGGGACTATAAGTAAGGTGCTTGCCGCTCTTCGCATGACTTGACGGCTTGTACTCGCTTCCACTTTCGCGACCTCCCACCACCTTTTCCTCCAGCTCACAGATTCGAACTTCTCCCCTCAACGACTCTCGAATCACCGACAAAATGTCCAAGCCTGAAGATCTCCCCCCTATGGAGTACCGCTTCCTGGGCCGTTCTGGCCTTCAGGTTAGTGCCATCAGCTTGGGAGGCTGTGAGTTACCCTGGTTATGTCCCAGATGACTGTTATTG